GGAAAATGAAACAGAATGCAAATGGTTCCCTGACTGAATAGCCAGCAGCCAGTTAGACAAAAACCAACTTAATGCTCATTTTCAGGAAATCCAATATAGTTATTAGTATGATTTTCTGAAAAATTTTACAAATAATAATTATGATGATTAAATACGAAATTTCAAGAGGGAATGAAGTTAATTTATGTAAAATCGAATAGCAAAAATTATTTGAAACCTTGCTTTTAATTCACTAATAAAACAGTATTTCTGATAGTGCACACAAAAATTTTTTTCTAATCTTAATAGAATAGAGTACTTTATCTTCTGTTGAAATAAAAGTTCAACTTTAATTCTCCATATTAAAGTCATAATATAAAAAATTTTCTAAACTGTTAAATAATGTATAGATTATTCTCTGTACATGATGAAAATTTGCACGCATTTTATACTCCGTATAATTTTGTAGAATTAAAAGAAGCAATGTGACTTAACATTCCCTTTCACCTCCCTTGTCCTTATACGAGGACCTTGTCCTTATTATTCCCTTTCACCTTATACGAGGCACACTTCCCTTTGTAACATAAATATAACAACAAAGTTTGTTTTTAATTATATTAATTTTATTTTTATTTACCCTCTTTACGGTACTATTCCTTTTTGACGACCGTAAAAAAATTGCAGCGAAAATGTATGCACAAAAGTGCCAAATCTAGCAAGCGCGCACATTTAACCGTGCGCCAAATCTAACGTATGTGCCGATTTCAGATTGGGTAAGTTTATGAAATGTTCTATATTTCTTAAGACACCATTGAAATACTAGTTTAATTTTTAAAAATCCTTTTTTGATTTTAAATTCTTTTTTGATATTCTATGGATTTAACAATTCATGGAAATTGCCCACGACGAAAAGTGTGCAATAGAATTTTGGGTAAAGTGCAGAATCACCCACTGCTTGACACGTTTTTAAGAATTGCACATACTCGGTATCCATGTACACATCGACCTATTTTCCCTTAAAAAAAAAAATCCCAGAATTGCACAAAAATGGCACTGTACACACCCTTGACTTTATCTATGTACACATTGACCTATTTTCACTTAAAAAATGAAAGAAAATTGACAAAAATCCAGTTCTTTTTACACTTGTAAAAAGCGGAAAACAAATAATTGGGCGATTCTGCAATTTACCGATAATTTTTCAAAGAAAAGGCATCATTCATTATAGAAAATTATGTTTGAGCAACATAAAAAGGCTAGTTGACATAAAAAAGGCTAGAGCTTTTTATCTCTTGCAACAGATCTACACCTATGGTTTTCAGGATGCCTTTCACAATATTTTTATTGCCCTGCAGATTTACTCTATGCTTCCAACTACATCCGCAAGCTGTAAGCGAAGTTTTAGCAAATTAAAACTTATTAAAAACTATCCGAGATCATCGATGAGCCAAGAGCGTTTATCAAGTCTCGCAACAGAAAATCAAACAACACATCGAGTTAATTATGACAATGCCATAGATTTATTTTCAGAACAAAAGGCTCACAGAGTAAAATTTTAATTCTGTAATATTTTAAGAGCATAGGTAAGAACTTAAAATTATTATTGAAATAAGAATTATGAAAAGAAGTACAAACACTAACCTTTTCCTTTCAGCAGTAGCCCGTATTGTTGTTGTGTATAGCTAATGAAAGTTAGTTACGTACTTAATTAGCTCATCTATTGTGCTAACTTATGTAAACTATTGTTTGTAACTAAAGATCATTTTTTTTTACTAGTGCATAATCAAGTGTATCGAAAGACGTATATAATTTTAAAGGTACCGTAAGGTATTTCATTCTTTAAACATAACATTTTTGCTAAAATCTTCTTTAAACTTAACATTTTGTATAAGCATAACTATACAAATTGCAATTATCCATCACACAATGAATGTTTCTTTTATGCGGAAGGGTCCCGGTTTTCAATTTGTATAGAAGTGTGTCGAATTACTATCAGTGTGCTGTCAAGGGAGGTTCTGAATGTAAACAAAAACACTCCATCTGGAGACCGAAGCCCTCGGAGCAGTGCTTCACTCGCAGTGCGGGGTTGGCCCCTCCTTTCTTTGTTACCTCCATGGTCTGGCTAATTATTGTTGCAAATATTGCAAAATTGTATATTTCAGAGAAAATGATTATTACAGTACAAAAATAGTCTTTTGCATCAATATGTAAATATTTATTATGTTATCGGGCTTTGTGAGAACGATAGTAGAGTTCTTGAGTAGACTACATGAAGGTGTTATCGTGAAATGAATATTTAACGTGCAGTTCAAGTACTTAGTATCAAGAAATGTTCAAAATTACAATTCATTCTTTAGTGATTGCTATATTTTAATGAAATTTTTTATTATTTAGTACGTCTGATTTCCATTTTGTGCTGTGCGAACTATTTGTATTTAGTGCGAATCGTTTCTATTACATCATTTTTAGTGTGGTAGGTATTGTTGCAAATATTGAAAAAAATCCCATTTCAGAGAATGTAAATTTTATAATTCAGTGCTCTGGAGAGTAACTGCATAAGAGGTCTGCATGGGTTTTTTAATTATGTAACTTTGTATTATATTTGGCCCCACAGAGATGTAAAGTCTAACACTGGTGTTCGGTCGGGGGTTAGAATCAAGCGAATCACTGGCTGCTGGTGTTTTTTGCCGTTCGCTTATGCGTAACTTGCATATGAGAAATTACTCTAGAAAGACATCTTCCCTCTTAGGCAGGTAGCTCTCTTATGCTTTGCCATAATAAAACACTAACCATTTCTATGTATATTTCTTTTAGAACAAAAGTGGCACATAAAGAATTTCTTACTATAAAATGGATTTTACATTTTATCTAAAAAACTACCTATTTTTATGTTTATTTAAAAAACTAAAATTTGTTACAGAAACTTAAAGAAAGATGGGTAAGGGCGGCAATTTTAGGTTTTTGCCCCACCTAAGAAAAATGCTAAATCCGGCGCTGCTACAACTTATTAAGAATACTGTATAGTTGCTCTTTTTAACAGTATATCACATTGTAATAAACAGCACTTACTGCTTTTGTTGGTATCTCTTCTTCTGGTGATTTTCTAGTAGTTTTCTAGTAGATCTTACTAGTCTTTCAAGCAGCTATACTTAATTTTAATGTTAACATTTTTGACGAGAATCTTAATTTTTGATTTTTCGACAGTTACAAATATGTTTTCACAATGAAAAGAGAGGCCAAAGAAAATACAACAGTTTCTATAAACATATTACTTAAAATCTTTAAATGCAATTCTTTTCTTCTCTTCCTTCCAATAGTTTTGCCATTTTTCTATGTCCTGATTTAGTAACACAAAACATACGATAAAAGATTTGGTAAAAGTATAGTATATTTATGGGTACCCCTTGGCAAAAATTGGCGGTAAATGGATACCGAATTTGTGCAATTCTTTGGCATGTTATTTTGTCTTTATGTAGCAGCGATTTTTGGAAATTGCCACTACACAAAGACAAAATAACAAGTCAAATAATTGCACAAACTTGGTATCCATGTATACATTGATCTATTTTCATATAAAAAACATTACAGAATTGCCCAAACTAGGCATTGCAATTTTCACTTAAATATGGATAAGGACTTAATATATTAAAATATGGATAATCACTTAAATATAGACCCTTTACAAGGGGTCCACATATTTTCACTTAAAAAAACATCAGAGAATTGCACAAACTTGGCATTGTGCACTCCCTTTGTCCATGTACACATCCATACATTTTCACTTAAAAAGTCAAAGGAGCACCCAATTCTAGGTAAAAGTATAGTAATGAAACATTCAGTTACTCAGGTTACCATAAAGGAAGCAACAACTTAGAGATAAACGAAACAATTTTGCGATAATACAAGGGGTACCCTTCAGTCTACTCTAACCAAAGATTCTTCTCTATGGAAAAACATCAACTTTAAAGTTTAAAAGTGCCTTGTTCAATACTTTATTTTCAATTTTTTTAAGATAGATGCATTTTTTTAGTACTTTGATTTCTTAAATTTCATGCATTGAATCTTACACACAAACAGAGCTACAATTTTTTGAAAATATAAATTCAAAAATAATATAATAAAAACATAATTAACTAATTATAAATAAGTTTAGAAACAGAAGAGAGATTTTATAAGAAAACTTTAAAAGAAGAAAAAAATTAACAATAAATTATTGATTCATTGAATTATTACCACAAACTATTAATTGTTTTAAACATATAAAAACATTGTTCTTTTCACCTCCCAAAACATACAGTTCTCCTATAAAACAAACATTGATCTACACTTTAATTTAAATTTTAATTTGGTGTTCTTTCTTTCCACATATGTACACTGAAATTAAGCCCTGAAACTACTTTATTTACACTTCAGATAAGCTAGCATAAGTATACAAAGTAAAAAGTAAAGTATACAAATTCCAATCTATTAATTCCAAAGAAAAATTGTTAATAGATTCCCAGTGAACAGAAACATATGTTTAGAATTTTTCTGCAAAACAAAGTCAGAATATGACATTTCTAGTAACTTGTTACAAAACATACGCAACGCACAATCATTACTTATTAAGAAGAAGGAACTCTTCTAACTCTGAAATAAAAGCAAACGTCAAATAAGAATAGGAAAATGGGTATTTTATTTGAATGTAAACATATTAAGATATGATTTTAATTTTTTACGATTTAGCAATGGTAATACAGATCAAGTCACATTGTTACCATTTAAAAGAGTTCAAATACATTTATTTATGCATTGAAGTATAATTTATTTAATTAATGCATTACATTTTCCCCAGTTTATTGAATTAAATATATATTTTCATTTTAAACGGATAATTTAACAAACATCAGGTAGTGAAACGAAAGAGATCCCACCCATGCCTCCGAAAAGCAACCACAACAAAAATACGAAATCTGAAACCGTTATCACTTGGTGGACTTTGGAAAGGTACATAAAAGATAAGGATAACAAACACACCTTACCTTATAAATGCAACTGATATAGTTCAACTAAACACACGGTTCACAATTACCAGAGCCTCTTATTCATGAACCGTACGCACTCAATTCAATGAATGAAGTGTTATGTTCGGGCGTAGCGGGCGTAGGAAGCGTTTCACCGACAAATAAGGAGAAAGAAAATGAGCAAAAAGATTGCGTCAACACACCCGTCTCTGTGACTGTAAAAGCAACATGTCATTATTCAAATAGTGAGATAAACTGAGGTTCAAATATAATTTAATTCATTTAATTAAGTTAAATTTTGAAAAATTATTTTAACTCAATAGAGGTTACTTCACTGAAGAACACTGAAGAAGAAGAGGCAGTTTACCAAGCATATTTTTATGAACTGATTTTACGACTCTACATCCTTGTTCGATGGTGCTGTTTATTAAGCGATTGTAGCCAAACATGTTAGGGCTGTCTATCTCTCTCTAGTGATGCAGGAATGCTTCATTAGAGAACTGTATAAACGAAACTGGCTGTCATACTGATACAGATTGAGAAAGTCACAAAAGTCCAACGCAGATCATCCGGCAGGAATCGAACTCGATTTTACAATTATCAGTGTTTTGACGTCTTATGAATTACTTTGATGTAGACTATTAGCTATTCTTTATAGATTTAATGGGTTTCTGCTCTACAAAATATTAATATAATTCAATTCAAGCAGCCAGAAGATAAAACTGAGTTTATTTTCCAAGATATTTTTCAATTTGAAAGTTAATGTCCGTTCCTGTCTTTTCAGGACATTTTTCGCAATGAATTTACAATATACCTTACTATTGTTTTATTAAGAATATATCTATTGAGCAAATAAAAACACGAATTTTTACTCTGCAGTATGCTTTGCATACGATTTTAAAGAAAAAAAATGTCGTTACACAATTAATTATTTTAGTACTTCAATATTTGATAAAAGATTACTATTACTTTAATATTTCTAATTCAATGCTCTACTCACAGGGTAAAAGAATTCGATAAAATTTTTATTGTGTTATTTTTGTATTATTATTGTTATTACAGCGTTATAAACTGTTTCGTAATAAGAGTTAAATTTGAAAGTAGGAGTAAATTTCACTTTGCTTCTGTTAGAAAATGCTATTTTGTCAGAGAAGGTTTTCTAGGATTGTCCATTTTGTGACTAGCATTATCGTTATGTTAAAAACTGATAGATTCGATGAAGTTTGGTTTTTGAATATTTTGGCCAGCCATTGGTTTTTAAAAGTAAGGCGGAGAATCTGCATTGCCTAAGAAAAATTCATACTGAGTTATTCTGAAATATTTCTGATTTCTTTAATAAACTGGATTACAATTTTAAAATAAAATGTTCCAAGGAAAGTTTATGTTTAATCGCTGATTACGTGTGATTTTTTATTTCCTTCTCATATCATGAAATGGACTTTTACCGTAGCGCTAGCAGCTTAGAGATACTTCTAATATTAAAGAAATTAGAATTAATAAAGGATTTATATAAAGAATTCACATTTTTAAATATTTTAATATAGCGGAAACAGACAGACAGTTGTCTTGTTTTCCACTTGCTAGGTCTTTCTGCCCACAGGGCGAAAAGTCCAACTTAAAGAAGAGGGAAATTTTGTTTGACAGAATATTAATTTCATAACGTTTGATACGACAATCATTAATAACTCATTAATGCCTTCAATTATTAATAACTGTTTCAATTTCTTTACCTGTCTTACACATATTCAACTTAATTTTTCACGGTGGCGTTGCTGTGTCGCTTCAATTCTTCAAATTAAAATTCTTTGCAAGTACAAAAAAACCCTCAACTCGAGATAGTAGTTGTTTCCGCGAAATTTATCTGTGGAATAAAGTGAAAAAGTACTGCATAGAAACTGATTTAATACTGCATTCTGATTAATTGTTTACTTAATTCCCCATTATTTGAAATCGGCTCTGAAATCCGAAACCGAAGTGTTATAATAAGTAATGGATTTAGCTGATTATAGTGTTCTATCTAAAGAAACATTTAAAAATGTATATGAGCCTTCAGAGGATACCTTTATATTAATTGATGCTCTTGAAAAAGATTTATCGCTAATTAAATCTCTAGCGTTTGTATTCCATTAATTTTATTGTATTTACTAATACCATAGTATATCTATTTATCAAAACTGCATTTATAATGTAATAACTTTTTTTAATGTTATAACGTAATTTTGAGGTTATGTAATATAATATAAAATGTGTACTAGGAGTAGTTTTTAATAAATTTGAAAAAGGTGCTTATTATGGGCATGCATACATACATTTCTAAATCCCCGAATTCTAGGATTTTTTTTTAAGTGAAAATAGGTCGATGTGCACATGGCTACTGAGTATGTGCAATTCTTGAAAACGCTTCAAGCAGTGGGTGATTCTGCACTTTACCCAAAATTCTATCGCAGACTTTTCATTATAGGCAATTCCCAAATTGTAAAATCCATAGGAATAAAAAAGGAATTAAAATTAAACTAGTATTTCAATGGCGTCTGAAGAAATTAGGTAGAAACTATATAAACTACGCATCTGAAATCAGCGCGTCCGCTCGATTGACCGCTGAGTAAATGGGATGTTGCTAGATTTGGCACTTTCGCATATACATTTTCGCTGCGTTTCAGCTTGAGTATAGGACCCCCATTGGCGACTTTTGGCTTGGCGCACTTTTTGGACGGTTGTTTTTCTGGTAACCCAGCAAATTCTAGAATACTCGACTTCGGCAACTCTGTCGCATTCACGTGTGTTTTAAACTGGAAAGTGTCATTTCTTTGAAGGAGCAAAATATTGTTGTATTCAACAAATTTCTCCAAATTGTAAGGGACATAAACTAGGCAGAGCATAGGATTTCTTTGTAAATTTAACATGATTTTGTAAACTTGACTAACTTTCCAGCATTTCTTTTATTCTTAATTTAAACATGTATTCTGAACTCCTGTTTTCAGTTTTATAACTTAATACTTGCGTTTTCAATATTGCTGCTTAAAATATGCCTCGTACTTGTGTATTTTTAAACTTTTCTTTACTTTTAATTTAA